CAATTTTTGGGAATGTAAGACTCGCAAAGCGATCCTACAATCTCGTTCTAACCGTCAGGTAGGAAACGCTCCACGTTTCCGACCAGGTACAAGTTCCTCTGCTGTTAACAACGGTCAGCGAGAAACAAATTCTACATTCGTACCCGTAGGTACAAATATCACCCCTGCTTCAAATGTTTCATCTGTACCTAATCCCCTCGCTGCTAACAATGTTCAGCGAGTTAATGGAGCTACCTATGCTGCTATTGCAGCGGGTAGAAATCAAAATACTAACCAACGTAATTCTAACGGAAATTTTGACAATTTTGACTTAGGAAGCATTACTGCCCCTAAAATGGAATTTTTTTCAGAAATCATTAATTGACATGATTTCTGATATGCTTAAATCTAATTCCATGTTTGAAGCTATTCAAACTGGGGTAAAATTTGCAAATAATATTGTCATGACTTTAAAATTCAGTAATGGATTTTAAAGCTTTAAATATTTTAAATTGGAATGCTTGATCTCTTAAAGATAATGAAGACGAGCTATTTAACTTTTTGAGAGTTCATAACGTGCATATTGCCGTTATAACTGAAACGTTCCTTAAACCTGACCATAAGGTTAAGAAGGACGCAAATTACTTGATTTATAGAAATGATCGTCTTGATGGACCCTGTGGTGGCGTTGCCATCATTGTTCATAAACGAATCAAACATAAAATTCTTTCTTCATTTGAAACCAAAGTTTTTGAAACTTTGGGTGTTTCTGTAGAAACAAAATTTGGACAACTTACGTTTATAGCTGCCTATTTGCCATTCCAATGCGTAGGCCAGCAAAAGAATTTTCTCAAGGGTGACCTTTAGAAACTTACCCGTCATAGGTCTAAATTCTTCATAATTGGTGATTTGAATGCGAAACACCGCTCATGGAATAATGCTCAAAGCAATTCCAATGGTAATATTCTGTTTGATGATTGTTCTGCAGGTTATTACACTATTCAATATCCAAACAGCCCAACATGCTTTTCTTCTGCAAGAAATCCCTCCACTATTGATTTGGTCTTAACTGATTAATGTCAACTTTGTAGCCAATTGGTTACCCATGCTGACTTCGGTTCTGATCACCTTCCAGTAGCTTTTGAAATATCCCAAGAAATAATTTGTAATCCCAACAGCTCTACTTTCAATTACCGTAGAGCTGATTGGGAGCAGTATCGAACATTTATGGAATATAACTTCGATCCAAACATTCCTTTGCAAACCAAAGATGAAATTAATTATGCTCTTGAATCTCTGACTACTTCTATAGTTGAAGCAAGAGCTGTCTCAGTACCAAAATGCGAGGTTAAATTCGATTCAATTATAATAGACGACGATCTTCAGCTCTTGATCCGTCTTAAAAATGTCCGTAGGAGACAATATCAAAGAACACGCGATCCTGCCATGAAAGTTATCTGGCGGGATTTGCAAAAACAAATTAAAAAGCGCTTCTCTGCCCTGAGGAACAAAACTTTTGAAAATAATGTTTCTAAATTAGACCCGAGTTCCAAACCCTTTTGGAAACTCACAAAAATTTTGAAAAAAAAACTCAAAGCCAATTCCAGCGCTTAAAGAAGGTGGTAAAATTTTGATCACAAATTTGGAAAAAGCTCAGAAACTTGCTAAGCAATTCGAGAGTTCCCATAATTTCAGTTTGGGTCTTACTAGTCCTATTGAGAATCAGGTTGCTCGGGATTTTCGGAATATTTTCTCTCGGGAAAATATTTTTGATGATTCCTGGGGGACTGATTTGGACGAAGTAAGGTCTATAACTAAAAACTTTCAAAATATGAAAGCTCCAGGTGATGATGGAATTTTCTATATCCTCATCAAAAAACTCCCAGAGAGTACCTTGTCTTTCATGGTAAAATTATTTAACAGATATTTCCATTTGGCATACTTTCCTGATAAATGGAAAAATGCAAAAGTTGTTCCAATTTTGAAGCCGGATAAAAATCCAGCTGAAGCTTCTAGCTACCGCCCAATAAGTTTGCTTTCTTCAATAAGTAAACTTTTTGAAAAGATAATTTTGAATAGAATGATGCTTCACATCAATACGAACTCAATTTTTGCAGATGAGCAGTTTGGATTTCGCCATGGGCATTCAACTACTCATCAACTCTTAAGAGTTACCAATTTAATTCGTTCAAACAAATCTGAAGGCCACTCAACTGGAGTTGCTCTTCTAGACATAGAAAAAGCATTCGACAGTGTTTGGCATGAAGGTTTGATTGCTAAATTGAAAAAGTTTAATTTTCCACTTTATATTGTGAAATTAGTTCAAAATTATTTAACTGACAGAACTCTGCAGGTAAATTATCAAAATTCCAAATCTAATCGACTACCTGTTAGAGCAGGAGTTCCTCAGGGTAGCATTCTTGGGCCTACATTGTATAACATTTTCACTTCGGACCTCCCTGATTTGCCTCAGGGTTGCCACAAATCTTTGTTCGCTGATGACACAGGCATTTCCGCTAAAGGAAGAAGTCTTCGTGTTATTTGCAGCAGACTGCAGAAAAGTTTAGATATTTTCTCTTCTTATTTACAAAAATGGAAGATTTCTCCCAACGCTTGCAAAACTCAACTTATACTATTTCCACATAAGCCTAGAGCTTCTTTTTTGAAACCTAGTAGTAGTCACATAGTCACTATGAACGGAGTTCCAATTTCCTGGTCAAACCAAGTGAAATATCTTGGATTAGTATTTGACCAAAAATTAACTTTTAAAGATCACATTGAGGGCATTCAAGCCAAATGTAACAAATATATAAAATGTTTGTATCCTCTTATAAACAGGAAATGCAAACTTTGCCTGACGAATAAACTTCTAATATTTAAACAAGTTTTTAGACCGGCCATGCTTTACGCTGTGCCAATATGGTCTTGTTGTTGCACTACCAGGAAAAAAGCACTTCAAAGGATTCAGAACAAAGTTCTGAAAATGATTTTGAAGTTGCCTCCCTGATACAGTACTACCGAGGTACATAGAATTTCGAATGTTGAGACTTTAGAACAAATGTCCAAAAAATAATTAATTATTTCAGGCAAAAATCGTTGCAATCCTCAATTGCAACGATTATTTTTCTTAATACTTAGATAAGATTTAGTTTTAGTTTTTAGTTTTAAGATATCAATTGTTATACTGACATGCAGGATTAAAAAAACCTGTTTAAAATACTGAATTGCCAAGACAGGAACAATGTAAAACACTTAGCTATATATCATAACAATTAAGGCTGGTAAGTTACTGTAGTAACTGGAGCACCTAAGTTAAAATGAAATGTAATTTATTTTAAAGTGGAACAAATAAAGAGTTTAAAAAAAAACAATTCAAAGTAGAGTAAAATTTTACCCAGTTTTATGAAAAATTACCTATTTTAAATTATATTATTCTAACTGGAGGCTATGGTAACTCTTAGACCAGAATGTCCCGAAGAAACGTGCTCAACTTTTTGGCTCAGCTCTGGCACTCTCTTCGGTCCCAAGCTAATCGATTCACCCCTCGAAACATAGGAAAATCCACGAACCCCTATGTCAAACTTTCATAGCGAATCAAAACAAACATAGTGTAGTACTAGAATTTCGAGTAGAATGGGGTACGTTAAACGATTTGCTTGGAACCAATAGGCTAGTCAAGTAGTGAGCCAATTTAAAATCGTATTACTGTCGCGTCTTTTCAGAAACATATGAGAATTCGGGAGGTGAACCATATTGTTGATTTATGATATTGGATTTCCGGATAATCCGGAAAATTCAACTTGATTTTACGTTAGCATTCTACAATAAAAATTAATGAAAAAGTCCTAAACCAGTGATCCATCCCTGCCCACAAGCAATTCTTATCAGCATTACTCGCAGTAGCAAAAAATATGAGCAGACACCTGGAAGGACAACAGCATCAACAGAGACCTTTCCAACACACAACACTCTACACATCACCGCTATCAGCAACAGGAGCAACAACAATGTAAATGGGCGCTTTAGCAGACAAGAAGAGCAGCAGTTTGATTTAACTACGAAACTAATTTTTAACCTTCAAATATTTTCGGTGTGATGAATTTTTAGACAATTTTACATAACAATTTTAAATCATGACCAGTTCTTTCGAGTTTCAAGATTCTAAAACTGCTGACATGTTTAGTTACATATTTTCCAAATCAGATATTTCCTTCCTTGAAACATGAGCGGTTCTTTCTAGGCATATTTTAGCAATGATTTCCGACATCTTGAATCAACTATTCATCGACATCGGCCTACTTCATTAGCTGCTCATGTTTTTTTTAATCTGAAACAATACGGATGCCGATCATGTAAAGTGAACAACTTTTAAGGCCCACCCACATTAGATCCGGATCTGACACTTTGCGATAAAATGACAGCTAAATCTATTGTCTAACTTTCAAAATTTACGTCAATGCAACGCAAACGAATCTAATGTGGAGGGCCCTTTAGAATCTCAGCCTAATGGCGTTCGGCCTAATGGCATTCACTTCTAACAAAAATTCAGCACCCCACTATCAGATAGGTACATATGCCCTATCAGCTTTTATTTATGGAATTTCCCAAGCATAACTAATTACATCAACGCAAACGCACCTGTTCCTGCACGAGTCTGTCGTACAAAATCCCTCTAGAATTTTCCCATCAACGCAACAGCCAAATTTTCCCACCGTAAACGAAGAACTACACTAAATCAGTTCCGAAACCTACTTCGGAAAACACCGCACCACATTTTCCCGGAAGCTCTCCCGGGAAACGGCTGACTTTCTCTCGAAACAAGCGAACGGCCGCCCCCCGGGGAAAAGTAATCACAAATCAAACCAGATGTTTTACCTCCCCCTCCCCCTCCTCCACCCCACCCCACGCTACAAGCGCTTTCGACGAACCTTCCTGGAAGCTGGTGCTACACGTTCTTCAGTATAATCCACCGTAAATATATGTATTTTAAAGTTTCCTCCTTTTCGGTTCGGTTCGCTTACATTTCGGTTCGGGAGAACTGCTCCGTTCCGTTCTGCTCCGCGAAGAATGCTCCTCCACTTCCGATGGTTTCTCCTCTTCGTCGGATTTGGTCTTTCTCAATTTCCCACACTCATCTTCATCAATCTCGGGGAAAAACTTTTCACTCGCTTCCCTGCTTTCTGCACTTCCTGCCGAATTTTCACTTCGCCCGGCTCGGGCAAACAATCACAAATCCCAAATTAGCAACACTCGGGTAAACTTTTCAATTTTCGCTTCACGCTTTTGCCCTTTCGACGCTGCTTACTGGCTGCATCCTCGTACCACGGACTGTGTTTTCATCTTCGCCTCTTCCAGGGCAGCTCACTCTTTGAATTCTTCCAACTCCTGCCTCAGAACACCACCGTTGGCCAAAAGCAGAGTGTCCGTGTATCGGATTACGACGACGACGTTTCCTGCCTTCGTAGCCTTTTGTGGGTTTTTCTCGCATTCGCTCTTATCTATTCCCATCAGGCTTGAACTTTTGCACTTTCCTAGAATAACGGGCCAGTTCTCCACCAAACAACACAATCACCACCAAGTTGGAGAGGTCACGTCTTGGCTTAAGCTAAAGGAATGCTCCCCCAATGTATTCTCCCGTCGTCCAGCAGACGTCGTCGATCGAACAAAAAGAAAAACATTCCCCATTCACCCTTTCATCACCGAAAGTCGCAGTCGGCGGATTCAGAACACACTGCGAAAACAACCTTCTTTTCTCGAAATTGGTTATGTCACAGCACCGCCAATGGGCAAATACACCTAGCAAAAGGATACACTTTCGCCCTGGAATCACCCTTTCCACGGGATAAAGCCACTGCCGAGCCGCCCCTGCCAATAAAGACTATCCATGGAGCCAAAATATCCAAACATCACGTCGCCGTCGTCGTCGTCGTCGTCGTCGTCGCCGTCATCGTCAGTAGTGACACTTGCCTCTCAATCGAGAATGCTCTTCCTGCAAATCTTCACCGAGCACGATTCCAAAAAAAAATCACTCATCAAAAGCTGTCACACCACAGCACTGCCTATGGACTGCTGTTATGATCAACGAAGAAACCGCACGAAAGACGCGACCGCATCCGGACCGATTCGACGAGCGACTAAATTGCGACAGTTCTCCAGCTCCAGCTGCTCTCGCCATCGTCGTTGTCGTCGTCGTCAGTCGGTGTCGCGGAACGTGGCCCGTTCGGGCTCCTGAATCGGTAGATTGGACACTCGAAAGGAAGTTGCATGCAAGTCAATGTGAGAGCATGCGCTGTCCGTGTCGGATCCGGACGTTTGTTTTGGCGGGAACATTACCGATCTAGTACTGCGACTGGAACGGTAGCGCGATTTTTTGTCGGATTAAATTTCTGGCAGTTATGCAGTTAGAGGGGATCTTATTTTTTGAAATATTGCTGCTTAACTGAGCACTCAGAAGTATTTCTACTTTGTAACCGTTTAGTTACAATGTCCTAGGTTTTAATTTGTGCATGTTGTTTTAGGAAACTGTAGTGTTTGTTTAGTGTCAGTGTTGGGTTAGGATTAGTAGGATTGTTGGTAAAATTGCTGTAAATTGAAAAATGTATAAATTTGTGTTAGTAGCGCGCGCAGTGAGAAAAAAAATCCAAACTTCTGTCCACGAACCATTAGGTCTTGATCTTCTGAAGAACTTTGCCGAATACAGTAACCTTATATATGTCCAGGATCGCGAGATATTCCATGTTGGTCCCTATTAGGTCAAATCCCATATGCTACGTGTCCTCCATTTACGCGATTCCCTCGCGCAAACGGAATCATTCGAGACCAACGTAAATGGATTTCGTGTAGACCGAGTTCGCGTTCTTCGGGGGGAGCGTGTAATCCTGTTTAAATGCTAGTGAATTGAGTTGGCGCACGGAACTGCCAACCAGGGTGAAAAGAACTCAAAATTAGGTATTTTTTTCTTTCCGTGTAGGCTGGTTCATCTCAATAGTTTGAGCAAGCCAAGAGCCACATGTGAAAAGGGCATACAAGCTTTATAGGCCATTTTTTCACCAACCGAGGGTCGCCCACGCAAACCAACAACATCATCGGGAAGGGGAAAGTTTCCCCTACCGGGTGATGTTGATGGTTTGCATTGGTGTCATATGGATGGCAAGAAAAGGACATAAGAAGGTTTGTTTACAAAAAGCTTGTATGTCCTTTTCACATGTTGTTCTTGAAATGATTTTCGTATGGTTTTATTGGTAAGTATTAACAATAATTTATAATAGAATCAAGACAAACAAATTAATGTTAGATACTTTACTATCTTTAGGCAAGTCCATAGAACTCTAAAAGTAGGCTGTGCGTGCGTACGGATGTGACGTTTGTTTTCTTTTCGTATTTGAAAATTTGGAAAAATTTAAAATAAATAATTTATGTGTGATAGCTTGCCTCGTGATTGGAGCACATTTTCCGCGGTTCGAAATTCCAGTGATGACCTGTGTTATATTTATACTTGGGTGCTGATCCGGTCAACAACTACCATAGATGGACCTGGATTCGATTGCCCGGTTCTGGGTCGCCACCAAAGCCGAGATTCAAGATGTTATTTTCACGAGTAGCTCAATTCCTGGCGCAAATGGCCAATCATCAACAACGGAAGATCTTCTATTCGAGACTCCGCGAGTGCACGTACATCGACTGTCTGCAGGACCTACATTATCCCCCAGCTTGTTCCTGGAGCCGCTGTCAAGCCAGTAAACCCCCAACGTCCCATCGTTCAGTGCGATCATGTTGCCGAGGTAGGACTTTCAAATGCCAGAGATTACATTGCATATTACTGTTACATTCACTCATAACCTAGCTCGGAACGTTTGGTACGGTATGTCCACGCATCCTTCCACCCCTGAAGTATTCTTCTTTGCCTGAAGATTCACGAAATGCATCGCTGATACCATGCCAGCACCATATTTGACGCGTTCCTTATGATGACGCACTCGTCTATTTTGACAAGATATTTTTTTAAACCTTGTAACACCATCATCCTCCTAGAGCACTGAAACTAATATTTGCAGAAGTAACATTTCAAAAATAATTATTTAAAATAGTCGAACGTTATGGAGTGTGTGCTTCGATTTAACTCGATTCCTTTCACAGAATCATCTTTGCGGCAAATGCAACGCAGTAGGCCTGGCCGTTTTGATGTTTGTGTCATATCTCAGATATGCTGCAAACATCAATGTTGACAAGAAAAATGATTAGATCTTATCTAACTGTTACGCAGTAGTCAGTTGGACGGGTGAATAGAGACTGATTTTATTCAAAGAGCAAGGTAAATACATAGTGAAGGTTGTTATGAATAATTTCATGAAAGCCAAGATATATATAGGATGATATGTAGGTGTAAGCATTTCCATAACATCTCCCTTTTCATCTTCTTTAAGAAAGTTAGAACATCTCGAAATCTTCAAATCTCTTCGGAACCTGGATGACGCGCTGTGGTCGTGTGAACCTCTCAACGGTTGGTGGAGGTTTTGGTGATAACTGTTGGTTCAAAGATGATTCCTCCTTGATATGATGCGACTAGCCTTCCATCATCACGTTTGGGTGTGCTGGTTTAATCAATGTATTATCGCGGCGATACTCCCTGTCTCCAACAGCAACTATTGATGAACGGTCGGTTACAGGTTTAATCACTGTTGCGTTTTTCCACTCCTTGTCATCTGGTCTTAGCTTCACATATACTGGCTGTCCAATTTCGAGCGGTGGAAGTTTCCTTACTTTGCGATCGTAATACAACTTTGCTTCCTGACGGTTTATCTTCTTTATCTTCTCCTCTACAGCTTCTTCGATTCTCGGGAGATACTTCTTTTCTGCCATGGGTACACCAAATCGTGTTCTTCTGTTCAGTAAGCGTTGGACAGGAGAGCTGTCACACTTGTTCGGAGTGTTCCGCCATTGTAGAAGCAGATCCCAAAAATCCTTCTTCGACTCGTGCGCTTTCTTGAGCAACAGCTTTGCTATTTTGACGGCGGACTTAGCTTTTCCATTAGCTTGCTGGTGATACGGTGCTGACACAGTGTTCTTGAATCCCCAGTCTATTGCAAACCGCTGAAATTCTTCTAATCTAATCTAATCTAATCTAATCTAACACCAACACCGCCAGTTCATGAAAGCATCCTGGAAAATGATAGATATACTTCCATCCTTTTTCTTGTCTATTTGGTATATTTTATACATCAGAGATGCGCAAAATATATCAAAACGGCCAGGCCTACTGTGCAGCATTTAAGGGGCAAGATGATTCAGAAACATCGGGCCTGTTTAAATCAAAGATTTAAACACGATGCTTCAGAATCCAATAAATGGATTAAAAGTGGACATCTCGTACCGTACGTTCCGTTGTTATAAATGATTGGTCGTTGGGAGCATTTAATCTAAAAAAATTAAATGATGCTCCATTTTCCTCGAGTGGTTGGGACATGAGTACTAGCTCTTGTCTTAGCCCTACATGGCTTATGGTTATAGCGCCATTACTCGCTTTCTGAAAAGAAAATGTGTATAAACTAAAAAATACGGGTCTCTAATCAATCTAAAAGAAAAGTTCGCTAAAACTCTTAATGACTCGCGAACTTTTCCTTTTGTGTGCCTATTAGACTGATGCAAATTTTGACATTTTCGCTCCATAGTGCTCAAACGGTTCCAAATCGGGTCCTGATAAGACTCCCAACATTTGAACTCCTTTGATAAGAAACTGACTTGGCACAAACCATTTGAAGTTTATATGGAAATTGCCATAGGAAATCCAAACTTTTGTTCATTGTCTTCTTACCTTTTTCCATATTGCACTGTTCAAAAATTCAAAAACTTATGGAAAATTTTCTCAACTACAACTTAGCAGAATATAATTGTTGAGCCAAACGTCAAATAAAATAGTTATTAATTGTTTAAGAGATTGGTAATCTAATGGCATGATCAAGCAGCTGTTTTGTGAGCAACACTGTATCTTGCAGTGTGACATAGTAGCCATGATTTTTGTGCTGTATTCTAAGCGCCAGGAACACCAATGTTGCCTGCTGAACAGTTGATTGAGCATAATCATAAGACATTAGTGGCTTGAATTATTGATAACTTTTGATGCTTACATCATATCGAAAAGTGGTTTTGGACAAAGTTGTAGCTGAGAAAATTTGCTACGAGCTCAGTTATCATTTTTTTAAAGCAGAGCGTTATGGTAAATTATCAGATGGATATGAACAATACATTTGGTTTTTCCATAGTAACCTCCATATAAACTTCAAATGATTTGTGCCAAGTCAGTTTCTTATCGAATGAGTTCAAATTTTAGGAGGCCAGTCAGAACCCGATTTTAAGCCGTATGAGGATGAGCACTGTAGAGCGAAATTTTCAAAATTTGCATCAGTCTAGTGCCTATATTTACCGTAGCTAGGGATAGGAAAGGAAATGTTGATGTAGTACTTACTCAACGAGAGGCCACCGAATTAGTGACACCCTCATAAGTAATACGGAGTTGGGGTACAGTATTAGGTCAGGATACGCCTCAACCAGGCGATACAACCAAAAGCATATGATTGTTTTTTTTTAGGAATTTGATAATAAACCCACAATCTTATGCACAGTAAGCAAAACCCAGCAGCCGCTAAGCTAGCCGAGTTCCTCAATTTGTTTTCTTAGTACTGTATTAGTGGAATTTATGTGGAACATAATGTTACGAGCTAAATAAATAAAAAGGAAGGATCTCACCCGAATAATCCTTGAAGCTCCCGAATAAAGTTCAGAAAAGTTTCTAGGATCTTGATTTTGGAAACCCGCTACTCGTTGTCAGCCCTCGGAAAGAGATGCATCAAATGCAACAGTCCAGCATCTCTCGGTATCACTATAAGCCTGCTGGATTCACACCATCGTGATCATCTTGGGATCTTCGTTGCCCATCAGCTAAGACAGCTGCCAACAAACACCGCTCCTGGATCTTCCTTTTTCACTTATCATCCGCCATGGTCTGATCTATTTAGATCCCGTCCATGAGATTTTGAACAATTGAACAATCGGAAGTTTGTTAACATGATTAAAATGGTTAACATCACCAAATGAAAATCAGCAGCAAAATTA